GGGGGGGGGGGCAAATCCCTGGTGGCACTAAGCAAGAGAAAAGGGCGTGCAGGTGTGTGCACGCGGCATGCACAGACCAAGGAGGGAGCCAGCTCAGCGAGTGGGAACATGAACTCCAGAGGCTGAACTCACAGGGGACCCCGTCTCCAGCCCCAGGCACACTCTCAACTCCAGAGAGAAGCACGTGTACGTTATGCCACACGGTTTTAAAAACTTCAGATCAAATGGGCCATTTCCTAGCAAAATATTAAAAAGTGGCCCATATCGAAATCTGGAGAGTCCTTTAACTATCAGGGGAAAAATAAGCCTGGGCTCACGATGTAAAGCCTTCCCACAAGGGAAACTCCAGGAGCAGGGGCTTCAGGATGGAATTCTACCCCCGACAGGAACCTGATCCACAGGAGGGCACAGAAATGGGCAGCACCACCCCCGCATTCGCGGGCAGACCGGCTGGACTCCAGACCAGCATGGGCGCTCCGAGAAAGGGAAGCCATGGCCCAGATGGAATCCAGTCGTTTGAAGCTGAAATCTTGGCTACCAGACCCAGCAATGAGCATGTTCCAGAAAAGGCACATAGATTTCTCAATCCAGAGCACTCTGCGTCCCTGGTGCTAGAGAAGATGGAGCTGAAAGGCAGGGGTAAAACACAGGAGGCGGCCAGGGGACAGTAATGAAAGCTGAGGACCAGGGGACACGCCAGCTGGGGCCCCGCCGAGATTCATGGGATCACCCGGCAGTGAGCCATGAGTACTGTCCTGATTGCTTCTTGTGTCATTCACAGAGGACCAGGCAGGGACAAGCCCGGGGGGAGATGAGAGCGAGAGGGGGGTGTGTGTCCCACGAGGCAGAAGGCTCACCCACAGGGTCTTCAGTGGCACCGATGCTGGGCAGAACGTCCACATCAGACGAGGACTTTTGGGGAGGGTCTAACACGCCTCCTAATTGGTCTTCCAGTGTTTTGAACTTATGCTTCAGACTCTGTATTTCTGCTTCAAGGGCCAGAACGTAATCTGGCAAGACAAAAGCCATGAAGCCCGTGAAGGCACACACGAGCAGAGCAGGCTGCAGGGAG